ATTCCATTCTTTGGATGTACTGCATTTTATTTGTCCAAATGATAATAATTTTGAGGACATTGTAATAGTCCTGGGTAAAGATTAGAAGGAGCAATTACACAGACAATGATGCCTTCAAGGAGCTCTGGTGGTGTAGTGCCTAAGGCATTTGACTGCTAACCAGAAGGTTGGTGGTTCAAACCCACCAGCCACTCTGTGGAAGGAAGACTGGGCAGTCTACTTCTGTAAAGATTTACTACCTCAGAAACCCAAGGAGGGTCACTATGAGTTAGAATTGACTCAATGGCAGTGAGTTTGTTTTTGTTTTTTGGTTTTTGGTTTTTTTTTTTTTTGCATGAATACAAACTTCATAAAATCAGAACATAGCAAAATCCAGCGCACACTAACTATGCTAGCTATAATTTCTCTTTCTTTGATGTTAAGAAGACCCTCAGCTCTTAAAGTGCCTCAAACTCACCAGGTCCACAAAAGAGAGGCTAAAATTCCTTTCTCTACCTTTTGTGATTTTTGTGGTTTCTGATCCTCCACCCAGTGACTAAAGGATTAAAGTGCAGAGATGCTCAGCTCCTGAAGGCCTTTCTCAAGAAGCAGAGTTACATAGGCATAGGTGTTGGGCTGCTAGGGAGGGGGGACGTCAATTTGAAGAGAGATCATGAGACAGACATTGGAGCTCGGCCTACTTTGCCTCTCAGAGGGGAGAGGGGAATCATGGGGCCCCCCAGGACTCAGGGGATGGGAATAGTGGTGGGGAGCCCCCTGGGATGAAGGAGACCATGAAGGGTAGTTGGTGGTGTTGGGTCTGCTACCCACTTGCATGAGTTCTTGGTGCTAGAGGAGGTGCCTGGGTAGTAAGCAATAAGCAGCCTAGACAGAAGTGCCATGTGGTTTGATACTTGTATTGGTTTCCTAGAGCTGCCATAACAAAAGACTACAGCTGACTTATAAAGACTTATAAAGGTCCCTGGGTGGTGCAAACAGTTTGCACTCAACTACTAACCTAAAGGTTGGTGCTTCAAACCTACTCAGTAGCATTGCAGAAGGCAGGCCTGGCAGTCTACTTCCATAAAGATGACAGGCAAGAAAACCCTATGGAGCAGTTCCACTCTAACACGTGAGGTCACCATCAGTTGCAATTCACTCAACAACAGGGTTTGGCTGGTTGTTTTGTTTTGTTTTTGGTATGGTGGTTTATAAGAACAGAAATGTCTTGTATTGTCTCACAGTTCTGAAGGCCAGAAGTACAAATCAATGTGTTGGCCGGGCCATGCTCCCTCTGAAGAATCTAAGGGAAGAATTTTTATTATCTCTCTCAGGGTCTGGTAGCTCCAGGAGTTCCTTGGCTTGTAGATGTATCTTCACATGGCCACTCTTCTTTTTGTCACTCGATGTCACTTCTCCTCTTTGATAGAACACTACTCAGATTTGAATAGCACCACCCTGTGCTTTTTGTTTGTTTTATGCATTAATAAAGGAGCTCTGGTGGGATAGTGCCTAAGGCATTTGACTGCTAACCAGAAGGCTGGCGGTTCAAACCAAATTTGGGTTTGATTGAAGGGTAAGGGAGTTAACTGATAAAGCCCTTTGTCATCATCAAGTCAATTCTGGCTCATCAAAAGCCCATGTATCAAAAAGTAGAACTGAACTCCATGGGCTGTAATCTTCACAGAAGCAGATCACCAGGCCTTTCTTCCATAGTGCCGCTGGGTGAGTTCAAATTGCCAACCTTTAAGTTAGTAGTCAAAAGCAAGCCATTTGTATCACCCAGATATTAACTGTGAACATCTTCAAAGACCCTATTTCCAAATAATATCACATTCATGGATACCAGTGGGTTAGGACTTGAATATGTCTTTTGAAGGGACACAATTCAACTTATAACACTGAACAATAGAGTGGGAAATATCGGGGCATCCATGGACATATGAAGTCCAGGTCTTATCAAGGCACCCACACATGCCATCAAGACCAGGCCTTCTCTCAACAATCTCAGGCTCTGGGCCAAGACTCTTCCCACTAACCCTCTTAACCCACTCTTCCAGGAAACCAGCACACGTCTTGCCAACCAGATCCCCCTCTTAATTCAGTTCTTCGTGCTCCAAGAGAATGGCGATTGCCTGCAAAGATCCATGATGCAAGTATTACAGGAGAAAGACCATTATGCCTGGCTGCTGCAAGAGCACAGGGAAAGAGCCGCCAAGAGGAGGTTCCTTAAGGAGAGAATTTACGGGCTCATGCAGGCGCAGCGCACACTCAATCATTTCTCCACTTAAAGGAGACAACATATTGGAGGGCAGTGATGCTTTGGGGTGCTTTCCTGTGTGCATCCATTGAAAGGAGAGGTGGTGCCAGAGTTTTCTGGTGCTGTGTTCATCTTCTTAGTACTACATTTATACAAGGGGTATAGCTGAGGTCACCCTGGCAGAAGAATCATATACTCAGCTGTCACCTCCTCCAGAAAGTCTTCCCTGGCTGCCATGAAGAGGTGGGCACTTCTGTCTGACTTTGGGCCCTTATAGGACACAATTATAGCATTCTCAAATAAAACAATAATTCTTTGTCCCTTTGTCACTTTTCCCCATCAGATTATGAGACCCTGGAGATGGCAAGGACTATATCATGTTCTTCTTTTATATTTCCAGACTCTTGCCTGGTACATTAAAAAAAAAAAAAAAAAGTTGCTGTTGAGTAACAGCACCCCAAATTAACTCCAGACTCCTCACTTGAGGTAGTGGTCTTGCTAAGATCTGAGGCTAAAACTCCATTTTTAATCAAAAGTAACTTCTGCTTTAGGAATGTATCCTGTTATTCCTGTTGTTCTTCATTGTACCTTGAGAAAATTACCTGGTAAACAAGTTCAGAAAACAATGTAAATTTTACTTACTTAAAAGTTTTGTTTGCTTCTCAGGAAGCCAGGTCCAAAACAATTCTCAGAACAGATGTTTATTTAAACTTTAGAATTATGGATGTCCTCCCTGCAGTCAAGCAAAGAAGGTCTGTTCTGGTTACCTAGTACCACTCTGACAAGAAATATACCACAAATGGGATGGCCTTAACAGACAGGAGTTTATTCTCTTACAGTTTGGAGGCTTTAAGTCCAAGTTCAAAGTGCTAGGCTCTAGGGGCTGGGTGAAAGCCCCTCAACCTTGGGGTCTAGCTCTGCCTCCTGCTCCCGGCCCACTGGAGCTAGAGGCATTTCTTCATTGAGACAGCAGCTGGCTGCTGAGGCTGAGAAGCCAAAGGTTGATAAATAAAATGGCACAGTCCCGATGTTACCAAACCACATGGCAGGCCATTAACTTAAGTCCATTCTAAATCCTAAGGTCGGCAGAGCATAACAGGATGCTGAGCAACGATACAGCTACATACGGCGTCCAAGCGAGCTATAGGCTAGAGACCACTCCCAAAGCTCCTGCTTATATACGGGAAGCAGACCACATACCCAAAGGCAGCTACTTAGCTGCTCACAGTAGATTCCACCATGGAGTTGATTACCCGTCTCATCATGGGGAATACTACATCAGCTGCTCAGCCACTCAACCAGGCCCAGCCAAGTTGACACACAAACATAACCACCACAGGGTCCCATGATTATTCTGAGGCCAGCTGTACCCAATTTAATGATTACTTTGTAACTTTAAAAAACAACTTTAGAAATATATGTAATCTCCTACTAATCACATGAAGCATTACCCAATTTTGTAACTATTACTTAAATGTCAACCAAACACTGATTTTTACTGAATTTCCTTGTATCTTCTTATATAAACTCTCTGTTTTCCTTCCTAGATCATTTAGTTTGGAATCCTCTGGCTTTGTGATTCCCAATTTGCAAACTCCTTACCCTTTAATAAAAGCTCTTTATTTTGAATTTCAACAGGCTCTGCTATCTTGCTTTATGACACCATGGAGTTAGCTCTGTCTCATGGCAACCCCACACAGGTATCAGAGTAAAACTATGTTCCATAGTGTTTTCATGGCTGTGAGCTTTTAGAAGCAGATGGCTAAGCTTTTCTTCTGAAATGCCTCTGGGTGGGTTCGAACACCTAGCCTTTCATCTGGCACATAGTAACCTCTCAATCAATGCTATACTACTGAATGAGTGTTGTCAAGTGATAGAAGTTACCCAAGGCTACCACTTAAACCCTGACTGGTTGTTCAGGGTGGTGTCCCTTGGTGGGCCACTTTTGTGCAAATCTAGTTCTACCATCTGCTTCCCACTGGTCACTATAATTGTGTTTCCCAGTCTTTTAGGAGAAAAGAATAGCCCTGGTGGCACAGTAGTTAAGCACATGGCTGTTAACCAAACGGTCAGTGGTGTGAATCCACTAGCTGCTCCACAGGACCAAGATGAGGCAGTCTGCTTCCATAAATACTACAACCTTGGAAACCCTGTGGGGCAATTCCACTCTGTCCTATAGGGTCTCTATGAGTCGGCATTGATCAAAGGCAATGGGTTTAGGAGAAATGAGCCTCAATGACACTGTATTGTTTCCTGACTGCAATGACCTCTCATTTCTGTGGTAAGTCCTGAAGAAGATTTTAATAAAGAAAAATATATTTTTAAACAATACAGAGCTTTATAGATTACTACTCAGCCATAAAGAGAAAGGCTGTCCTGATGCATGCCACTACATGAATGAACCTTGAAAACATCATGCTGAGTGAAATAAGTCAGTTGCAAACGGGCTATGGCCTCGCTTATCTGAAAATAAGCAAATACATAAAACCAAGATTATTTTTGGTTACTAAGAATAGGAAGGAGAGGGAAAAGGGGAGTTTCTGTTTAGGGGGCATTTAGTTTATGTAAATGGTGGTGGAATGATTTGGAAAACGATAGCAAGATTGATTGCATACCTTGAAAAATGTAATTGATGTTCTGAATTGTATGTGTATAAATTGTTGAGTTGGCATCTTTTATTATGTATATTTTCAGCACAATAAAAAAAGATAATGAAGAGAGCGAGCTTGTCACCAATGATTACCTCTAGATTGAAGAATTGTAGGTAATTTTATTTTCTTCTTCCTACTTTTCTGTATTTTAAAGAATGAGCATGAATTACTTGATAAAAAGACAAAACAATAAATAGAGTGTTTAATGTCTGTGTTGAAGACCCTGGTGATTCAGAGGTAGAATTCTTGCCTTCCTCGTGAGAGGCGAGGGTTTGATTCCCAGCCAGTGCACCTCACCAGCAGCCATCACCTGTCAGTGGAGGAGGCCTGTCTGTTGAACAGGTTTCGGCCGAGCTTCTAGACTAAGAAAGACTGAGAAGAAAGGCCTAGAAATCTACTTCAGAAAATCAGCCAATGAAAACACTATAGATCACCAATCTACAAAAGATCATGGCGACGGTGCTGAACCAAGCAGAGCTATGGTGGTGCAGTGCCTAAGGCATTTGACTGCTAACCAGAAAGCTGGAGGTTCAAACCTACCAGCTAACCCTCTGAAGGAAGATTGGGCAATCCACTTCTGTAATGATACAGCCTTGGGAGTCGGATCCAACTCAAAGGCAGTGAGTTTGGTTTGGTTTGGCTTTGGGGTCGCCATGAGTTGGGGACTGACTCCACCAGGGCTCATAACTCCATAACCAAGTGATCACATTTTTAATCCAAGGTTATTGTGCTGGGGTCTCTGGTCTTCCTGACAGGCAGAGGAGGAATAACCAGAAAGAGAATTTGGAAGAGGGGGCTGCTAGGCCAATTCCCATAAGCTCCAGGGGAGTGGTCCTGTGAAGGCAGGTGATAGGTGTCCCTCCTGCTCCATCTGAAAAAATAAACTTTCACAAAATGTTGATTTGCCAGCATGTCACCAGGCAAATGCCAGGGGACAGCTGGCGCTACTGTCAGGAAAAGTCATTTGGAAAGGCCGTACCTTCCCCAGTGCCAGGCTCCTAGTACACAAAGCCAGGGCCCTGGGCGGGGCCTCTAGCCAGCCTGACTCTGATCCCCATACTACTCCCATTACCAATTTTAAGCATCTCCATCCTGGGGCAGGGATCCCTGCGGGGGTCCTTGGGGCAAAAACAAGGCAGAGTGAGGTCTACTCTTAAGAAGATGAATGGCACCCACTCCAGATGCCAGCCTCTTTGCACTTTAATTGCAAACAAATCCCCTAGGGAGTCTTCTTAAAATACAGATTTGCCTAAGGCACTTGACTGCTAACCAGAAGGCTGGTGGTTCAAATCCACCAGCCACAACTCAGAAGGAAGGTTGAGCAATCTGCTTCCGTAGTGACACCGCCTCGGAAACCCAAGGAGGGGTCGCTATGAGTCCAGTCCAACTCAACGGCACATAATGGCCTGGAATGGCTCTCTAGTTGAGGGGCTGAATTTCTAACAACTCGCAGGGGATGCCAATGCTGCTAGTCTGGGACCACCATTTGAGAAGCACGGGTCTACATGTCACATGCACAAAACGAAGCAAACGGAACCAGAGCCTGGTCGCGCTCCAGGCCAGCTGGGGGTCCATGAAAAACCAAGGGCGCCTGGGGCGAGGGCGCATCCCGATGTTCTAACCACGTAACGTCAGTCCTGCTGCGTTCCCTGGAGGTGCTGCTGGGCCCCGTCGCCTCCCACGTGCCTTCGGGGCACCAGGGGGACAGTGTCAGGACAGACCTAAGTGCGACTGACAGTGCTGCCACGGAGCGCCTGCCAGTCCCGCGGGACCGAAGTCTATATACTATTCCCCTCCCCATCCTGGCACTGTCCCCTCCTCCCGGCACCGCCCATCTCTCGATCCCTTTCTCGCCCCTTCCCCGCCCATTTCGACACTTGCAGCTACTTGCGGAACCGCTCACTGCTTCCTGCCCCGGGATTCTGGAGTAGTCTGCGCAGCTGGACTTTCATTTCTGTGTAACAGGGAGAAAAGAAATCGAAACCGAAACTCAGTGATAAATGGAAACTCCTGGGAGACAGGGCGAGAGGCTGGGAGGAGACGAGAGAAAACCCAGGGTTTAGAGCGACCTTCTGAAGGCCAAAGAGAACAGTTCCTGCAGTGCCAGAACCAGCCTTCTAGATTCACCATACACTCAGCCACCCAAATGACTGTTGGTCGTTCTTTCAACAAACATTTATTGAAACATTTCTGAAACTGCCAGATTCCAATGGCAGATACCAGTGACCGACAAGCAGGTGGCAGATAGAGTCCTTCCCTAATCCCACAATGTGAGGCTCTGCTCCATGGAGTGGGGAAGGGGGCTTATGCAGCCTTCTAGTGCAGAGGCCATGGAATGTCAGGGAGCACCTCAATGGGCCTGGAGGAGTAGGTGCAGCCC